GAAAAAAATATAATTGTATTGCATTCAAGTGAATTTAGTGACACAAATTATTTGTTAATAAGGTTTCTTGAACATTTAAAAGGATACCATTTTTAAATGGTATTTAGGGAATACTTTTTATCCTTTTTAGAGAGGTTTTATTAGAACTAGTATTGGCCCTCATGTGTCCAAATCATTGAGAAGTCTAATATTAATTGTTTTTGGAGGTCTCCAACCTTAAGTTGTACAGTCATGCTGTGGGCTTGTGTCATCCCACAAAATGGTCCCACAGCCTCCCAAATCTCGGTGGGACACATCTCTGGTCCCAGGCCCAGGTTGTACTACAACTGTTATTCCTTATGATCACATTCTGTGGCTTAGGTGCTGGCCCCATTTGTAGACCCAGCATTGCTGTTTCGTGTCTTCAGATCCAGGTCCTTGCCCATGTCTGACAGAGACTCCACCTGAGAGTGTCTCGGGTAGACTCGAGGCTGGGCTCCTAGTGATCTGCTTTGTACTCTTTATGGACCTGGCACCTCCCAGACCCTGCTCCTGAGCTGCTGCAGAGTCTGTAAACTTGTCCTTATTCTCAATTCTGGGTTTTCCAGTGGAGATATCCAATGTTAACTCCTTTCCCCCTTTTAATTTCCTCAGTACAGGAAAGGTTCATCCTGCCCCTTCTTTCAACAGTAGGGCTTGAGATGATCCAGAGCATCTGGCTTCAGACCAGCCCAAATGACCCTGTCTGTCTTCCTTTCCTGGGAGTGGGACAGATCTGACTTTAGGAACACAGAGCCGTGATTCCTTCCTTCAGATGGATCTTCAGCATTTCTTTGAATGTGCTTTTTGCGGCTTTACTTTAAAATTAACTTTATTAAGTCTTCCTCCTTCAGTACACATCTTTTAGATATTCTTTGTGATGAAATGGAAGTATGCGAAGAGCACTTGTGCTGCTACTGAAATACGGATGATTGCTTGAATTGTGAGCTGAACTGGCTGCTTTCTTTTTTCTTCCATGAAACACCGTTTTTACTTGAAAGAATGCCTTACAAACTATGATTAGTAAGTCCTGGGTATTTGGTGGTATTTTCTAAAAAATGAATGAAATCAGTTTGTCACTTCAAGAAAAACTACTGATGATATTTGTTGCCCGTGATAAAATGTGAGCTTTCAAGCAAAACATTTGGAATTTTGGAAAACTCATATTCCCCATCAGAAGTGTGACAGTGTCCCAATACTCAAAAGATCTTACTGGTGAAATTGGTAATGATATTAATGAATGATTCTTTGATATTAAGTAATGAAATGTACAAACATTTGGAAGATCTTGCATAACTCCATGACCCAGTTATTTGGATATAACAACAACAGCAATGTTTTGAAATAAAATAGTTTCAGAACCACTGTGTTATAATACCTCCATTTATGATGTACAAGTGCTTGTCAGTAGAAATAGGAGAGTCTCAGGACTTATAACTGTTGTTAAAACTTTAGATTCTTGTTTGTTTCTATCTTCAATTTTAAATTTAAAATTTGGTCCGGGTGTGGTGGCTCACGCCTATAATCCTACCACTTTGGAGGCTGAGGTGGGAGTATGGCCTCAACCCAGCAGTTCGAGACCAGCCTGGGCAACATAGGGAGACCCTGTCTCTACAAAACAATTAAAAAATTAGCTGGACATGATGGCACACACCTGTGGTCCCAGCTACTTGGGAGGTGAAGGTGGGAGGATGGCTTGAGCCCAGGAGGTCGAAGCTGCAGTGAACCACTGCACTCCAGGCAGGGCAACAGAGCGAGACTCTGTTGGAGAGCTTCAAGATGACTGGCTCACAGCATCTGACACTCACCTCCTCAACAGAAGAACCCAAATAGTGAGTAGACGATTGTACTTGGAACATATCATCTAAGAGAGAACACTGGAATTCTAGAGAAGTGACAAGGAAACATCCAAGGTCAGGAAGGAGGGGGAGGTGTGGCAGCCTGCCTGAGACTAACACGGGCGCTGCCTCGACTCGCAGAGGGCCAAGATGTGAGCAGCTGGCAGCAACCTTGCTGACCTCAGCACGGGCGCCATGGCTCACTTTCTTGTATCCGGCAGACAGGCCCCACCTGTAGTATCACCTAGGCTGAAACATACACTCCTTAGCTGCCTGCCTATGCCTGTCGCCGCTGAAAGCAACCCCACCCTCCCCAGCAGCAGGGACACAGCACAGCCACCAGCTCCCCTACCAGAGTACACTGCAGGGGGCTAGGGATCACCTTGCCCCATCCACCATTGTTGGCGAGAGCCCACCAGCCTGCTGCTACCATCACAGCTGGCACCCTCCTGCACGCGCCAACTGCGGGTCTGGAGACTGGCTCACTCAGCCTGTTGCAGCCACTGCCAGCCCCCATGTGGGCCACTTGGGAGAATGTCTCGTCACTGTTACTGCCATTGCCTATGACATGTCCACTGCCCAGGCGTTCAAGAATCTGCCCATCCACCTAACCCACTACGGCCACTGCCTGCACCCTAGCAAGCTACCTGGAGACCCAAGAACTGGCCCACCTGAACCTGCAGCACCAGTTCCAGTGTATGCTCCTCTGAGGACCAAGGCCAGGTACGCTTAGCCTGTCAGTGCTTCCACTGAGGCTGAGGACTGGCCCGCCCAGAGTCCCCATCCCCAGCAAAACCTTAACCACAGCCTTCAACAACTGTACCCTAAGCCACCGAGGAAAACACAGACGCCACTGACACTGTTTGCAGCCGGAGAAATCATATGGAGACTACACTGCTGCACACATCCAGGATCAAAGCTGAAGTGCCTTACCCATCCAACGCCATAGAAAGCAAATCAAAAAACAGGAAGAAGCATCCGTTACCCCAGATACACAGATGTCATGTAAGAAGACAAGAAACATGAAAAAGCAAGGCTCTGACACCTCCAAAGGAGTACAGCTCTCCAGCAGCAGAGTCCAGTGCCATTGAAAATTTGATCTGCTCTTCATATATGAATAGCTCACATACAAATACCTGAAAATGATAGTACCTTTCTTTGTTCCTTTTTATAGTGAGTTAATATTTTCTTAATATTTTGTAAGTAGCACTCTTCATAACTTCTGTAAAAGCAAAATTATACTGGGCAGTCTGATCACTGTTTATTTCAACTTTAATAGTCATTGTTAAAACATGCGCACTGAATGAAGAGACCCCCCCCCTCCGCAAACAGACTTTGTGTGAGCAACATGGCTGTTTATTTACCTGGGTGCAGATGGGCTGAGGCCGAAAAGGGCGTCAGCCAAGGGCAGCGGGATAGAGTTGGTTTTACAGATTTGGGATGGGTAGTGGAAAGTTATAGTTTAGGGCAGTTGTTTGCTGGGAGGGGGTTGTAGGGTGTGGACTCACGAGGTTGACCAAGGTCGGTTACAAAGTCCAATGACCTTATCCATTGGGGAATAAGGAACAATAGGGATTATCTCAAAGTTAAGTAGGTGCAGCAGGGGTTGATCATTTCGTCGGTCTTCCAGGAACTCATCTGGAGTGTCCGTGCAGGTCACAGAGGTTAACATGGTGTCCATGGCACTGTTAGCCTAAAAGACCTTACAGTCATGATGTGTATTATAATTACCCCTGAAAAACTAGCCTGATGAGGATTAGAAAGATAAATGAGTGACCTTTTAAGACTGTGGTAGAATTTCACTGACTAGGCCTGCATGGTGAATGTTGCTGTTGGTGAATCCTGTTTTTTCTTACGTAAACTGTCATTTTGATACTGATAATATTGGCCTTTAACGTAGATTTAGTGCTTCCATACCTTGGCTCACAAATGATCTATATTTTGAATAACTTGGTTAAGTTTTAAGTAATGTTAGTTATGTTGTTGATTATCAATGTTAGGCATTAAGATGAATATATGGATATATTTTTTCTTTTGTGCATGGGAAAGGAATTTTTTAAATTTGGGAACATATGATAACAAAAATAATAATTTTTGAAGACTGAACCCACACTTTGAAACAAGAGCTAACCTTGTCTCTTTGACTGGAGGGCCTTGTTAAGAGAGGTATTGATATGCCCCCATCTCTTTGTAAATTATTAAATATACATAATGGTAAGACTGTTTGTAAATACTATATTATTTACTTTACTCTCTGGCATAATAGCCATCCATATTTGGATGCTTAGAATAGACTGAAAATGTTTACTACTCATACCTGCAGCTCAGTCCTCAAACAAGTGCCTCTCTTGTAGGTTACCATCCCACCATTTCGTGACCCTTTGAAAAAAGCACAGTATGACAAGGATAATGAAAAAAGAACTCTTCTTCAGTGTGAGACTGGTACTTAGTTTCTAATTGTTATGTGATTTCATAGCCCAAGAGCAATGGCAGTTGCCTTTAAGGATGTTAATTTAAATTTTTATTCTTCCTGCAGGCAAAATGTATACAATAAAAGAATTCAAAGAAGTTGAGAAGGCTCAGCTACATTCCAGATTCCCACAAATTTCTAATTCAAGGAACTTTACGACTCCAAATGAGTGGCTAAAACTGCCTACAGGATACATAGAAAGTGAATTTTGTAAAAGGAGAAGGTAATGGTTAATATACTAGAAATTATAGAACCTTTTGGACTTTGAAAATTCTTGAGACTGATATAAAATTTTTTATAGTTATTATTTTTTTAAATTTTCCTTTTTTTTTTTGAGATGGTCTCGTTCTGAAAATTTCATTTTTCAGTGAAAAATCTGTAATTCTTATCTTTGTTTCTGTGTATGTGATGTTTCTTTTTTCTTGGATACTTTTGGGATTTTCTCTTTCTCTTTGGTTTTCATTAGCTAGACTATGATCTGTCTGTATTTGTTTTTTTCTTTCTATCTTAATGTTCTCTGAAGTTCTTACATATGTGGTTTTATGTCTTTTATTATTTTGGGGAAATTCTAGACCATTATTACCACTTCAAATACTTCTTATTCCCTATTCTCTCTGCTTTTTATCTTCCTTCTGAGACTCCAATTATATGTATATTAGACCACTTGATGATGTCTCACAGTGCCATAGCTCTTACTCTGCTCTATTTTTCCACTCTTTTTTTCCTTATTTAGTATTTCAGTTGGATGATTTCTGACTTGTTTTTAAGTTCGCTGTCCTTCCTTAGCTGTGTGCCATCTACTGAAGACCCCATCAAAGGAATTCTTTATCTTTGATATGATTTTTAAATTTCTAACATTACCATTTGATTCTTTTATATAGTTTTTAATTTATTCTGAAATTCTTCATCTGCTCATGCATGTTGTCCACCTTTCCACTAGATTCTTTACCATATTAATTATTTAAAATTCCCTATCTGGTAGTTCCAACATTAGGGTCATTTATAAATCTGGTTCTCTTGGTTGCTTTGTCTCTTGATAATAGATTGTTTTACCTTGCTTTTTCTTTTTCTTTCTTTTTTTTTTTTTTTTTTTTTTTTTTTTTTTTTTTTTTTTTTTTTTTGCATGTCTTGTAATTTTTTATTGAGTGCCAGATATTTGTTGTAGAAGAACAGTGTACACAGAGTATTTATGTGTAGAAATGGACTTGCCTTTTCTTCTGTCAAGCATTTGTGTGAAGGATTAGGCTTATCTAGTTGGAGCTGAATTGGCTTTGGGTATTGTTATTGCTATTGTTACCTTTAGTGCACCACAGGCTTCAAATACCTCTAGTGGTTTGGCTGCTTTGTCCTGTGCTTAGGGTGGAGGTGGGGTACCAGAGGATTTTCTCAAGTGTTTCTGCTCCTCCCTCAGTTTTCAGCTATCCATGCAAGCTGGCATCGTAGAGGTGGAGGGGTGTTCTCTCCATGCCCTTGCCTCTCCCATGGGAGTATACCGCTGTTGCATGTTGCTTATTGCAAGGCTCCTAGTGGAGGCAGAGAAATATCTTATGTTTTTCTCATTGAGCTTCAGTCTTAGGCAAGCCCTGTGTGCTAAAGCCTCAGGAGCAGGGCTTTCCTGAGGTTCCTTTTTCTTAGCCTTGTGGCAGCCAAACTTGACCTTGTATCTATGGTTGTTCTTGGATGACACTTTCCTGTCTGTCTTCCAATGACAGCAGATTTCTGCTTACTGTAAGAATAGGAGTCTTGATGTCTTTTTTTTTTTAATCTTTAATTTTAAGTTTTGTGGATACATAGTGGTTGTATATATTTATGAGGTACATGAAATGTTTTGATACAGGCATGCAATTGATAATGATCATGTAAGTAAAATGACGTATCTATCCCCTCAATGATTTATTCTTCATGTTACAAAGAATCCAATTATACCCTTTCGGTTATTTTAAAATGTGCATTTAAAGTGTTACTGACTGTAGTCCCTTTGTTGTGCTATGATATACTAGATCTTATTTGTTCTTTCTATTTTTTGTCCCCATTAACCCCATCCCTACTTACCCTTCACCTTCTCAACACACTTCCCAGCCTCGGGTAGCCATTCTTCTGCTCTCCATCTCCATGAGTTCAATTGTTTTGATTTTTAGATCCTACAAATAAGTGATAACATGTGATATTTGTCTTTCTGTGCATGGTTTATTTCACTGAGCACAATAACCTACAGTTCCATCCATATTGTTGCTAATAACAATATCGTATTCTTTTTTATGGCTGAATATTACTCCATTGTGTGTAAGTACATTTTCTTTATCCATTTATCTGTTGATGGACACTTAGTTTCCTTCCAAATCTTGGCTAATGTGAACAGTGCTGCAACAAACATGGGAGTGCAGATATCTCTTCAATATACTGATTTTCTTTCTTTTGAGTATGTTTGCAACAGTGGGATTGCTGGATCATGTGGTAGGTCTATTTTTAGTTTTTTGAGGCTCCTCCAAACTGTTCTCCATAGTAGTTGTACTCATTTACATTCCCACCAACAGTGTCCAAGATTTCTCTTTTCTCTACATCCTTACCAGCATTTGTTCTTGCCTGACCTTTAGATATAAGCCATTTTAACTGGAGTGAGATGATATCTCATTGAAGCTTTTTCTTTTTTTTTTTTTTTGAGATGGAGTCTCACTCTGTCACCCAAGCCATAGTGCAGTAGCCTCTGCCTCCTGGGTTCAAGCAATTCTCCTGTCTCAGCCTCCCAAGTAGCTGGGACTAGAGGTGCACACCACCACGCCCAGCTAATTTTTGTATTTTAGTAGAGATGGGTTTTCACTATATTGGTCAGGCTGGTCTCAAACTCCTGACCTCAGGTGATCCACCTGCCTCGGCCTCTCAACGTGCAGGTGTGAGCCACCATGCCTGGCTTGTGGTTAATTTGTAATAAGGCTTTCCTTCTCTCAAAAATCTGATGCCATAGTATTGGCTTCTGTGTGCATCGGGCAGCATGAGCCACCACACCTGGCCTACTTTCTTTCTTTTTATTTTTTGTAAATCCGTTGTTGTTTTTTTGATTTGTGGTTACCATGAGGCTTGCAAATACTATCTTGTAACCCATTATTTTTATTTATTTATTTATTTTAAAAGACAGGGTTTCACCATGTTGGCCAGGCTGGTCTTGAACTCCTGACCTCAGGTGATCCGCCTGCCTCAGTCTCCCAAAGTGCTGAGATTATAGGCATGAGCCAACACGCCCAGCCATAACCCATTATTTTTAACTGACGGCAACTTAAAACTGACTGCATATACAAACGCACAAAAAGAAAACTAGTGAAAACACTATACTTTAACTTTGTTCCCCTACTTTTTAACTTGTTTCTCTTTGTGTCTTATTGTACTATTTCTTCAAAAGTTATTGTAACTATTTTTGATTGGTTCATCATTTAGTCTTTCTATTTAAAATAAGAGTAGTTTACACACCACCTTTGCAGTTTTATATTATTCTGTGCTTTTCTGTGTGCTTACTATTACCAGTCAGTTTTGTATCTAGAGATGATTTCTTCTTGCTTATAACATCCCTTTCTTTCAGATTAAAGAACTCCCTTTAACATTTCATATAGGACACGTTTGGTGTTGATGAAATCCCTCAGCTTTTGTTTGTCTGGGAAGGTCTTTATTTCTCCTTCGTGCTTGAAGGATATTTTTTCTGGATAATACTATTCAAGGGTAAAAGTTTTTTTCTGTCGGCACTCTATTTCTTTATTTTATAAATTTTTTTTTTGAGACACAGTCTCACTCTGTCACCCAGGCTGGAGTGCAGTGGCATAATCTCAACTCACTGCAACCTCTGCCTCCCAGGTCCCAGTGATTCTTGTGCCTCAGCCTCCTCAGTTGCTGAAATTATAGCTGTGCACCACTACACCCGCTAATTTTTGTATTTTTAGTAGAGATGGCGTTTCTCCATATTGGCCAGGCTGGTCTTGAACCCCTGACCTCAAGTGATCCACCTGCTTCAGCCTCCCAAAACGCTGGGATTACAGGGATGAGCCACCATATCTGGCCATGTCAGCACTTTAAGTATGTCGTGTCACTCTCTCCTGGCCTGCAAGGTTTTCACTGAAAAGTCTGCCACCAGACATATTGGAGCTCCATTGTATGTTTATTTGTTTCTTCCTCTTGCTGCTTTTAGGGTCCTTTCTTTATTCTTGATCTTTAGGAGTTTGATTATTAAATGTCTAGAGGTAGTCTTCTTTGGGTTAAATCTGCTTGGTGTTCTATAACTTTCTTCTACTGGAATATAGATATCTTTCTCTAGGTTTGGGAAGTTCTCTGTTATTATCTCTTTTAATAAACTTTCTACTTCTATCTCCATCTCCTCTGTAAGGCCAATAACTCTTAGATTTGTACTTTTGAGACTATTTTCTGATCTTCCAGATGTGCTTCATTGTTTTTTATTCTTTTTTCTTTTGTCTCCTCTGAGTGTCTATTTTCAAATAGCCTGTCTTCAAGCTCGCTAATATTTTTTTCTGTTTGATCAATTCTGCTATTAAAAGACTCTGATATATTCTTCAGCATGTCAGTTGCATTTTTCAACTCGAGAATTTCTGCTTGATTCTTTTTTTTTTTTTTTTTTTTTTNTTTTTTTGAGACAGAGTCTTGCTCTGTTGCCTAGGCTGGAGTGCAGTGGTGCGATCTCGACTCACTGCAACCTCTGCCTCTTGGGTTCAAGTGATTCTCATCCCTCAGCCTCCCGAGTACGGTAGCTGGAATTACAGGCACCCGCCACCACACCTGGATAATTTTTTGTATTTTTAGTAAAGATGGGGTTTCACCATGTTGGCCAGCTTGGTCTCAAACTCTTGACATCAGGTGATCCACCTGCCTTGGCCTTCCAAAGTTCTGGGATTACAAGCATGAGCCACTGAGTCCAGCCTCATTATGAGATTTTTTTGCGATTTTTTTTTTTTTTTTTTGACAAATTCTCACTCTGTCACCAGGCTGGAATGCAGTGATGCAATCTTGGCTCATTGCAATCTTTGCCTCCTGGGTTCAAGCGATTCCCTGCCTCAGCCTCCCGAGTAGCTGGGACTTACAGGCGTGCACCATCACGCCCAGCTAATTTTTAATATTTTAGTAGAGATAGGGTTTCACCATGTTGGCCAGGATGGTCTCGATCTCACCTCATGATCCGCCTACCTTGGCCGTCCAAAGTGTTGGGATTACAGGCGTCAGCCACTGTGC